GGGTGGAGCACGCGGGAACATTACATGGCGCTGGGCGCGCAGGAGCGAGTGGACAAGTAAGCACGGCAGTAGGAATCCTCCGGCGAAGCGATGGAGAGTTTGGCGGTTTGTGCCAACTCTCCATTTTGCGGTTTCACAGCATCTTAGTACACTTGATTTGATCGGCAAATGGACAGGTGGAGGAGGAAGGCAAACGATGAAAAGCGCAGAAATCCTTCCAGTTTGCAGTGGGACAAGTTCGCGGGCCGCGGTGGCTTACTTGACGGAAGCTCGGAACGTGACGAGACTTTTTGGATTGCGCCAAGCTGGTCGAGTCCTGTACTACGCGGATGGCGCTGCCTACCTGCAATTTGGGAAAGTCCATCACCGTGTCAAACTTTATACATGCGGATCATGGTCCGTTGCCCGAGGATTGGCAGTCCTGGCGGATCAACTGGAACGCGAGGAAGTGTCGAGGGTCGACGTTGAGGTTCTTCGAGCGGCATCAGCGCCAACGGCCTCTCTCGGTCAAAAAGCCACAACCTCTCCGCTAAATGACCAGAACGCTCTATTCTTGACGACCAGCTGCGCCGTTTTGCCGAGTTCAACGCGGGCAGATCGAAGAGTATTCCCATGACGAGGAGCCTGCGGATACGGAGCACAGGGGTTGATGCCTGGGAATTGGCGGGAATCAGAATCCCAAGCTCACCGACGATGTGAAGGTGGGGGGCAGAGAATAGCAGAGAAACATCCAGAAGAACGGCCGGCAAATATCGCGCATCCTCGTCGAACGACAAGCGCGGATATAGGGTGTTGAACGGTCCCAAATTCAGCGCTGTGGCAAAATCTGCGATTACGACTCGGGTGTTTATCGACCCAGTTGCCGAAAGCAAACTTGGATTTTTCCCGGGTCAATCGTCCGAATAGAAATCTGGGATTCCGTGGTGGAAGATGACCAAACCGTTATTTGGAGACCGTCGAAGTCTCTGACCGGCCAGCAATCGTTGCCGGGACTCGCGCGGTGAACAGCGGCGTTGGGATCAAGCCTGTGCTATAATGCCGACGGCCGTACCGAAAAACGTTGAAACAGGGTTCTTTTGTCCGTGCGTACAATTTGTAAGCCTATAGTCGGTCATTATGAAAGCATCTGAACTGGTCGCCCCAGATCAACGATAACATCCCGGAATTTGGCCCCGGGGATCGGTAACGGGTCAACTTTCCGTATCCGGGAAGGGCTCGGGAGCGCGTGCAGCGTTCCAGGGAGTTTGCATCCGGCGCACCCACGGGACCGGGCCGGCCGCGAATTTCACCGTGCGGCGCATCACCGCGGCATTGGCATTGAGCGCGTCTTCCCGCCTGCTTCATCCCCGCTGATCGAGTCGCTGGAAGTGACGCGGCAGGGCAGGTGCGACGGGCAGCTCTACTACCTGCGAGGGCGCCAGGACGGGCCGCCGCAATCAAGGAAAAACGACTTACCGCACCAATCGGTAGGCAAACACACCCGAAACGTCAACCGCCGCCCGCTGCCTTCTCCGGCGCGGTTGCGGCTGTTTTGCATTGTAATATCCTGCGACTCACCGCGAACCCGACCGAAGGGGTAAAACGAGGTCGCACCGTGAACATACGCCGAACGTCGCCATAGACGCTGACTGGATATCGCCGGCAGGACTTTTCCTATCGCATACCGCGACTCTGCCGGTGGAACCCGCAACTGGTCTGGGTGCAATTCGGGCGCAGCATCGTTCAGGGGTTTTGTGCTGACCCTGGCGGACGCGCGGCGGTTCGGAAGAGGAAACGCGGGACATCCTGCCCCGATGGAGCCGTCTCCCTTGGTTGTTCGCTGGGGCTGGAGCTTGCCGAGTGGCTGGGGCAAACCTACCGGTGTTCTCCCTTTGAGGCAGTCGCGCCGGCGCTGCCGCCGGCTTTCGCGCGCACAGCGGTAGCGATTGACTGATGCGGTCCCCGGCCCGGAGTATTCGGTGGCGGTTGTGCTTCTTTCCATAGAATTCCACCACACCTCGCCGCGTGGCAGAACTGGTCGACTCCGCACGGGCCGGAGGAAAATCACTTTCCTGAAACGCATTGGACTAATCACGCCACGTCGCCCGCCGAAACTGCAAACGGTTGGTTGGGCGCGTGGCCTGGTGCGCAAGGGGTCAGAGCCTGCCCCGTCGCGATCCCATCGTATCGTCGCCTGCTGATCCCCCCCGGTCAGTATACCGATGCCGGCGAGGAAGGCGAGTCGGCTCCGCAGACGCGAGGCACCGCGCCAGGTGGAACTGCTGGCTGCCGTGCGGGAAGCCGCCGCCGGCTACGACACCACCGGAACCTGCCAGCCTCCTGGGGTCGGCGGCCGACGCGCTCCCTGCACGCGTGGACTGGTGGCGGGAGGAATGGCGACGGGTGGGCCAGAGACCCTGCGGGCGTGGCGCCGGCCCAACCCCCGGCCGAAGCATCTCACGGCGGCGCAGGCCGAGCTCTGAACAGCATCACCGCCGCGCTGGACGACCCAATGTCCCCCTGCCGCGCAGTTTTTTGCTCCACGGCGTGACTGGCAGCGGCAAGACCGATTGTACCTGCGGGCATCGCCCAATTCCTGTTGGTCGGGGAAGCAGGCCATTTACCTGGTGCCGGAGATCGCGTTGACGCCGCAGACGGTTGGCAATCGTAAACGACCGGTTTCCCTGTCCGCTGCCGGTCCTGCACCCCCGCCTGACGAAAGGCAACGGTTCGAGGAGTATGGTGGAGGATACGGATGACAGGGCCGACATGGTTGTCGGCCGCGCAGCGCGCTGTTCGCGCCGCCCTGAACACCGGCATTGTCATCGTGGACCAAGAGCACGAACCGGCTTAACAGCAGGACAGATCATCCTCCCTATTACCATTCGCGGGACGCCCGCCCTGGCACCTGGCCCCGGCGTTCGGCCGGTGGTGGTGAGGTTCGGCCACGCCCGATGTCAGCACTACGTACAGGCGACTCGCGGGCGTCCACCACTGTTGCGGCGCGGCCAGCGCGTACCGCAATCCCACGGACGGGCCACGCCCCTAACCGACTTAAGCGTGGTGGACATAGCGGCGGGAACTGCGGGAAAAGGCACCCGCAGCGTCTTCAAGTCGCGGCCTACCGAGGCGCTGGACCACGCTGGAGCCGGCCGGCAGGCGATCCTATTCCTGAACCCCAGGGGCAGCCGCGGCGTTCCATGCAATGCCGGGCTGCGGCGCACGTGATCAATTGCAGCCTATGTTCCGTGGCTATGCCTTAATCGCGAAGGGTAGTCGGGTGGTCGGCTGACTGCCACTACTGCAACGGCAGACGGCGATTGCCCCGGGCTTGGGTGGCAGTGCCGTGGCGGCCGAATCATCAGGGAGATGGGCGCCGGAACGAGACGGTGGATCCATTGCAGCAACGCCTATCCCGACGTGACGATCGCACGTGGGATTTCGGACTCGGGCCGAATCCGGCGCATGCTGGAAGCGGCGAGGCCGCTGTCCAGCGGTGAAGCGCGGATCCTGGTGGGAACCCCGATTGTGCGCGAGTGGTTGGAGTCTGCCGAACGTGAACGCTATCGGCCGTCTAGCGGCTCGGCCGACCTGGCCTGAAACGCTCCCGGACTTTCGTGTGCCTGCGAGCGGGGCGTTTGCCCTGCTCTGCCAGGGCCGACGGGCCGGACGGGGCGACGAGCCGGGCCGGGCGAATCAGTCCAGACGTACCGCCCGACACTACGCCATTGCATTGCAGCAGCGTCGGAGCAGGACTATGGCCGCGTTCTACGGATTGAGATTGAAAGCGCGGCGCGTCCACCAGGGCAGCCCCGCCATCAGACCGGCGGCTGGCCCAGGTGGTTTGCTCGGACCATCAGCATGCCGCGCGGTCCAGCAGGACTCGGGAGAGCTGGTCGAGGATCCTGGCGGTGAGCCGGCTTGTGCGGTGAAGGTAGGGATGACGTTACATTATCGGGCCGACACCCTGTCTTCCCGAACGAGTGCGCGGTCGGTACCGCTGGCGATTGTTGCTGCGGGGCCGCAGGATCTGGCAATTCCTGGAAGGAGAGTATCCGAGAACTGCCGGGTTGATGTTGACCGGTGCGGTTGGACTGATCCGCTCGCAACGGGGCGGCGGTGCGGCAGGTGATGGGGTTGTCACCGTCGGGAATGGGAGGACGCGGGCAGCACGGGCGGTGCGATACTGCCGGCGAGAGCGCGTGCCATGGCGCGACGGCATTGCCACGCTGCGCTCGCATGACACTCCGGTGCTGTGAATGGCAGCCAGGTCGCTTGCAACGCGATGGCGGGAAAGACCCTGAGGATGGCGGAGGCCATGTTGACAACGTGAAGGATTTTGGTGTATCAAATTTGCAACTGCTTGCGTGCGCAACCTAGGAGTGGTAGCTTGCCACGGAGGAGAAACCATGCCCGATATCTATTACGCTCGGCCAAGTAAGTTCCTTTCGGATCCTCGGGACCGCGACGGTTATCGTGGGTGAGTCCGAAGATGAAGTACTCGAAAAGAGTACGCATATCTGAGCAGCCCGGAAGCCAGGCCGTCTACCCCGGCGTTTGCAGACCCGAAGGAGTTGGAGAACAACATCCGGACGTGCATCTTCAGAAGGGCACCAAGGCCATTCACAACCGACGCCGGATGCGGAACCGTCAAGTAAACGGCAACATACGGTCAGTCATTGGCGCCCGTCTCACAGGACGCGTCTCGTCGTGCGGTTGCTGCGCCTACGGCCAGTGGTTACAGGCGGCATCATGCGATCAATACTGACGATGTTCGCCGGGGACCTACCACGAGGCTGTCGCGGTTCCCCATGAACACATGTGGTGCTGTTACCCGCATGCCCTAGCCGCTGCACATTCGAGGAGCGGTCACAAGGCAGTGATCGGCAGATGTCGTCGACCGGGCTGACCAGTTCTGGGGTGCTGCTGCGCTGATCAGGACGGCAACGAGGTTGGAGAACAGCCGACGAGCCGCATCGGTGGGGACAACGGCCAGCGTTTCGCTAGGTCCAACGCCGGCAATGAAGGGCCTGTGCGAACATCCTGACCAGCGCGCGAGCGAGCGAACGTTCGAGCTGCTGCAAACGGTGCGGACCGATGCCCATGGTTGTTGGTCGCTACTGGAAGAGGGACGAGGGGCAGACGTTTCGGCCACGGCGTGGCCGGTTCTGTTGACTGCGAACAGTTCATCCAGTTGCAGCCAGTCAACTCACCGCCAGGGCCGGCGTTTGGACGGAGAGATCACGGATTCCGATGAGCCCATCGCCCTGGCCGCATTTGGCCTCATCCACGTTGGCGTGAGCCTGCCCTGTCCGCCCACTGTTCGACAGTCGCTGTTGGAAACGCCCACCGCGGTCGGACAACTGGAGAAGTTGCAGACCCTGATGCGGCAGGCGAATCGCATCGTCGCGGAACAGGTGGAGCAGACACGCCGTTCAAGGGGCCGCGCCTGCTGAATAGCGCCGCGCCGGCATCAGCTACTGACGGGCGCTCAACTGCCGGAGACGACGCAGTTTTTCTTGGAGTTCCCGCACGCGCTGTTCTGCCGCGGCCCGACGGGCTTCAGCTCCCGCAGCGCCCGAGATTCTGCTCCCGTAGCCCGAGAGTTCTGCTCCCGTAGCCCCGGCTTCTGCTCCCTGCAGCCCGGTGCTTCTGCCAGCGCCAGGGCGTCCAACGCCTCAATCAGATCCGTTAGGAATTCCCGCGAATCGGTGTTCCCGGAATCTCAGCAGCCCTCCTCCCAATGCAACTCAAGGGCCCAATGCCGTGCTGTAGCCCCGCACCGCCTGATCCACGGATCCAAAGACCGGGATCGTTGGTACGTTCCTGCACGAGGGAGTCCCCCCGCCAGCGGCGCTCGTGCCACGCACCCCCGCTGGGATCAAACCGCCAATATTCCTTGCCCCCAGCCGGGCATAGTCATCCCGCTTCGTGGTGTAATCACGCACGCCCGTGCTCGGAGACGCTACCTCGAGCACGAATCCGGCGGGCGACCGATCTCGCTGATGACGTATCCGTTGGCCACATTTTCGATCATCTCCGGCGTATCGTCAGACCGATTGCGACCAGACAGTCAGGATTGGAGACGTGCGGGCATCGCGAGCTTGATAGCAGAGATACCCTTCGCCCGATACCAATGTGTCAGGTTGGCGCCTGAAATAGCTGCGGAGTACCTGGTCAGCGCTAGCGACGTGTCGGCGTTGCTTCATGGCATCCGGGGTCTGGGAGGGTCGGGCAGCTCCGTTAGCGTCGGATGTGCGCCAGTGGACGGGTACTTGGTGGTCATGAAACGCCTCTCTAGCCGGCGCCGTAAATTCGGCGCGCTCCCGCCTCGGGGATCATGCCGGAGAAGAGCTCGGGATGGATCATCTCGGCCAGGATCTCCAGACCGGTCACGAGTCGCGGACCGGAACGGCTGGTGTAATTGCTGGCGTCGATCACGTACACGCGGGTCGTTCGCACCGCCGGGAGAGAACTCCATCCTCCTTCTCGGTGACAGGGGAAGGTCCTGCATGGCCCGGGGACCTCAAAGCCGCAGGGCATGACGACGATGACCTCCGGTTGGCTCTCGACGACGGCGTCCCACTCCAGAGGGAAGGAACCCATCTCCTTGTCGCCGAAGCAGTTGGTTCCGCCGGCCAGCTCGACCATTTCCGGAACCCAATGGCCCCCGCACATGAGCGGGTCGGTCCATTCCAAGTGCAACACCCGCGGGTGGGTATCGGCCAACTCGGCGCGCTGGGTGATGCCGTCGATACGACCCTGCATCTGGGCCGTCACCCGCTCGGCACGGACTCGGACCCCGTGGCTCGGCCCACCCGGAGCACGTCTTCCAAGACGTCGCCAAGGTATTGCGGGTCCAGGGACAGGACCTCGGGCTGCTTCTCCATGTTGACGGTGGACTCGGGCGACCTGCCGAGAAGACACCGCTCAAACCTCGCAGATGGCCTGGGTCAGCAGCAGGTCCGGGTTGGCCGCGTCGAGATCTCCTGGTCGATGTGATAGATCCCCAAGCCTTCGGCCAGGCGCTCGGATATCACGCGGCTATCTCGCCGCTGCTGGGTTGAGTGCCCTCGAAAACGCTGCGGACCACCCACGGCTTGTTTTTGGCCTGGGCCGGGTAGTCGCACTCGTGGGGTTACGCCGTGGAGCTGGTCCTCCAGCCCCAACGCGTAAACGATCTCGGTGGCTGAGGGCAGAAAAGAGCAATTCGCATCGTGTCGCCTGCCTGATAGTGACTGGACGCATTGTAGCACTGTACCGGCGGCGGCCCTAGTCCGCCTCCCGCTGGGCAGCCGGTTCAGCATCTTCAGCTTGCTGCGCCGACGTGGGGCTGAATAGCTCGATGCGCTCTTCCAGGAAACGCCACAGATCCTCGGTGGAGTCTTCGGCAGCCTGGGCGGCCGCGCCGGCGCGCGCCTGCTGGACGGGTTGCGCGTCAGGGTCGGCCCAGTGATTGAAGGCCGGGCTCTCCACGTCCATCGCTTCAAAGGCGCTGGAGCTTGGCGCGTCGGTGCGCCGGGGAGCCGGAGGAGCGATGAACGTATTGCGGAACACCGGTTGAAGCACGCGGTGGACATGGAAGCCGGCAAACACCAGAGCACCGGCCGATGCCAACAGCAGGAACGCGGAGAGTGGGACCGACAGGCTTCCCAGGGCGAAAAGCCGGATGATCAACGGGATCAGCAGCAGGACGCCGACCAGCAGAAAGGCGGTGGCCATCCCGTCGCGCAACAGGGTTCGAAGGGTGTAGCGCGCCGGCTGACCCGCGGTGTCGCGTGCCGCCGCCCGAACCGTAAGGCTGGCGACCACGCGCAATTCTCGCCAGATGGCTATGGCGGCGGGCACGTTGATTCCCACCGTGGCGCCGCCCAGGATCATGCCCAGCAGCGCATGGGACACTGATTCCGGTTCGGCCAGCAAGTCGGGTACGGCATATACCGCCGCCGTGCCGATGGCGGTCAGCACCGCGATGATGCAGATGTCGATGATGATGCGGCGCACCGAGTTTTTCAGCAGGCGTCCCGTCTCCCCGGGCAGGGAGAACGCGGCCCAGAACGACTGGATCGCCAGGAAGATGACCAGATTGACCGCCAGCACCGCCGGGGGCGCACGCCGTTCCAGCCAGTCGTACGTCGGAGTGGCTATCCGGGAGGTCAACGGCGCGAGGACTGCCGTAATGGCGGTGGAGATGGCCAGCACCGGACCCACATCGGGCCGGCCGCCGCGTGACTTGCGCTGAGATGGCCGATCGCCAGCGAAAACTCGCCCATCTGTGGCATGGTCATGCCGACCTGGACCGCGGTGCGGGACCGCCGGCCGGCCAGTACCGCTCCGATGGTGTTGGCGGCGATCTTCCCACCCATGAAAACTCCGACCACCACCAGGGCCGGCACGATGTAATCGTCCAGCGTGCGGTAGTCGATCAGCATCCCGATGGACAGGAAGAACAGGGCGCCGAACATGTCGCGCACTGGATTGACCAACCGCGTCACCCGTCCGGCCGCGTCGGTGTCGCCGATCACGACGCCGATGAGGAAGGCCCCGGCCGCCGACGACAATCCGAGGAACTCGGCGCCCAGCGCCAAACCGAAGCAGCAGCCAAGCGAAGCGACCAACAGGGTCTCGTCGGATTGCATCCGGGAGAGGAACCGCATCAGCCGCGGCGCCAGCAGCGCGCCGAAGCCCAGCGCCGCGATGCAGAAGATGCCGAGCTTGGCAGCCAACCATCCCACGTCGACGAGGTCGGTGGAACCGGTGGTCGCCACGCCGGCCAGCAGGGTCAGCAGGATGACGGCGGCAAAGTCTTCCACCAGGAGGATGCCAACCACAGTCTGTCCCCATCCGGAGCGCAGGTTGCCGCTGTCGCGCAGACCTTTGAGCAGGATCGCCGAACTGCTGATGGCGAGGGCGCCGCCCAGGTACAGGCTGCTGACGCCGGATATGCCCAGCAGCTTGTCGGCTATCAGCGTGCCCAGATAGGTCAGGGCGGAGATTTCCACCGCGCCGATGACGAGCACCCGCAGACCAATTTCCCGGATGCGCCGCCAGCCCAACTCCAGGCCGATTCCGAACAACAGTAGGATCAACCCCAGTTCGGCAAGCAACTCGATGGTGTCCAGGTTGCTGATCACCGGGTGGGGCAGGGTGTACGGCCCAATCAACAACCCGGCGATGAGGTAACCGAGCACGGGTGGCTGCCAGACCAGCCGGGCTAGCGCCAGACCAACAGCCGCGATGGCCATCGCGATCGCAAAGTCTTTCAGCAATCCGGCTGATGCGTCTGTTAAGCCGGCTGCGAATATGGCCAGCGGGAACTCTATCTCAGATCTCCCTGCTAAACGTGTAGCGCCGGTGTTTGACCTGCGCCGCAATGGAACTCAGATCCGGAATGGAACTCAGATATGGAACAAGCCACGCGCTGAGCCGAACCCATTCACGGCAACGCTCGATGGGAGCGCCGCGATTTGCCGTCCCCGCCGTTCCGGCAGGATCCCGCCGGCGGGACGGGGACAGATGTTTCGCCGGCAGGCGGCGAGGGAAGTGCGAGGAACTACGCGGCGCGGCCGGCGTGCTTCTGGCGCGCCTCGGTGACGAACTCGGCGGTGACGGAAGTGCTAGGGGTCGCCACGGCGACCGAACCATACAGCGGTCAACGCTTTTTCCACGTGTCCACCAGGTAGTTGCCCTGGTCGTCGTCAACGCCCCAGATCTTGAAGTGGATGCGCACGTCGGCGTAAAGGCTAACGTCGCCGGGGGTTGCTTCCGGATCGCGGAAGGCTTCGGCGGTCACTTCCATGAAGTCCACCGGGGAGTCGTCGGTCAAGGCGATTCGCTCGACCATGTTCACGGCGCAGGCGGTGATGCCGGAGAGGAACAGTTCCCCGGCTCCCACCGCGTCGCCGCCGCCGTCATCGGCGACCCAGTGATGCGTGCGGGCGTTGCAGATCGCTCTGCCGTGGGTTCCCGAGCTGTACGTTTCCACGTGATAGGCCATTTCCAATGCAGCCATCGTTCCCCCTCTGGCGTAACGCGCTCCGCGGATATTCCCTTATAGTGATATTGATCCCTACGACGGCTAAATCATAAACTATGTTGGGCTGCAACGCCAAGCGCGCAGAATTTTGGGCGAATTATAAATTGAACGACGCCAGACGCGAGACATCCGAAGATCTTCTGGGTGTTGTAGTGGTCGCCGCCGGGCGCAGCACCCGCATGGGCGGGACCGACAAGACCTTTGCCGATGTCCACGGAACTCCCCTGATTGCCCATACGCTGCGGCGCATAGCGGCGTCGGACGCGGTGGACCGCATAGTGCTGGTGGTTGCCGCCGACGCGGTGCCCGACGGCGAAGCGGTAGTGCGGGAGTTGGACATTGCCAAAATCGTGGCAGTGTGCGCCGGAGGCGCCCGCCGCCAGGATTCGGTGTTCGCCGGGCTGTTGGCCATGGGCGAGCGGCGCTGGGTGGCCGTTCACGACGGGGCGCGCCCGTGCGTCTCCGGAGATGTCCTGGAGCGTGCGCTCGCTGAGGTTCGGGGAACGGGCGCGGCGATAGCGGCGGTGCCGGTGAAGGATACGATCAAGGTGGTGGGCGAGGAACGGGTGATTTCGGATACGCCGGACCGCGCCACCCTGTGGGCAGCGCAAACTCCGCAGGTTTTCGACTACCAAATACTGCTGGATGCCCATCGCGCCGCCGGGGTCGAATACACGGACGACGCGGCGATGGTTGAAGCAGCGGGCCACCGGGTGACGGTTTTTTGGGGTGATTACCATAACCTGAAGGTCACCACGCCGGAGGATCTGGATATGGTCAGTCTGCTATTGGGACGGGGATAAGCCGAATCTCCCACAAACGGCGCACGAGTCTGCTTGCAACAGGCTGACCTATATGCTTACGATGTTTCATGTCGTCCGTTGTCACGCATGGGCGCGTGCATGTGAAGAAAACATTCGCGTGTTTGGACAAAGGGTTTCGACAGGCGGAGGATCACCATGGTTGCCAGCACTGTCAACCGTCGCTCTCGTTACCGGGAGTACGCTCTATTCCTGCGGGTGAGCGCGGACCGGTTGGACATGGCGGTTGCTCCGGCCCGGCTGGAGCATTTGCGCTCGAAGGTCAATGCCGAGCGGAACACATTTATGGCGTGGGTTGTCATCTGGTCCATATTGGGGTTGGTCTGCGTGGCGCCGCTGGTGATGCTGTTGGCCGCCCACATGGACGTGTCGGCGCCGGCGTATTTTGCGGCCCAGGCCGACGCGTTTTATTCGCAGCTGAGAATTGGCGGCGAACCCACCAACGCGGACATCGTCGCATCCGGGTCGGCGCTGGCGTTTCTCGCAGCGATCATCATCGGTTACGCACCGATCATCGCCTACGGCGGGCCGTTGAACGACATCGAGGAAGCGCACCGGACTCTCAAGTCCATCGAGCGAGCGTAGGCGCCCGGGCGGGGTCGCGGGTTGCCCCAGCGAGGCCAGCGGTGGAGTATCGAGTAGGAAACGGAGCCGACGCCCACGCCCTGGCTGCCGGGCGCGCGCTGGTGCTCGGCGGCGTGACCGTCCCACATCCCGCGGGCCTGGCCGGCCACAGCGACGGCGACGCGCTCAGCCACGCGGTGATCGACGCCCTGCTGGGAGCTGCCGGTTGCGGCGACATCGGAACGCACTTTCCACCCGAAGACCCGTCGCTGGCCGGGATCAGCAGCCTGCTGCTGCTGGAACGCACGGTTGGAGTGCTGGCCGAGGGTGGTTGGTGCATCGCCAACGTTGATGCTACAATGCTGGCGCAACGCCCCCGGTTGTCACCCCATGTGCCGCTGATGCGCCGGAACATCGCCACCGCCCTGTCCGTAGAACAGTCGCAGGTCAGCGTCAAAGCCACCACCACCGATTACCTGGGATTTACCGGGCGGGAAGAGGGCATCGCGGTCGTCGCCGTAGCGTTGCTGTACCGGCCGTGACACCGCACGATACCAAAATGGGCGTAATCGCCGTCGTCAATCCAGATTAGTATGAAGCTCTACAACACCCTGAGCGGACAGGTTGAGGAGTTCGTTCCCTCCGACGGCAACCTGGTCAAGATGTACGTGTGCGGCGTGACCCCGTACTCCTCCACCCACGTCGGACACGCGTTGAGCTATGTGATGTTCGACACGCTGCGGCGATACCTGGAGCACAAGGGCTACGAGGTCCGCCACGTCCAGAACTTCACCGATATTGACGACAAGATAATCCAGCGAGCGCAGGAGTCCGGCGTCTCCGAGGACGAGTTGGTCGAGGAGTTCATCGGCGACTACTTCGATACGATGGACGCGCTGAACATCCAGCGCGCCTCCGAATACCCGCGCGCCACGCGTGAAATTCCGCGGATTATCGACGCGATATCCGGCCTGATAGATCGCGGCCACGCTTATCCGGCCGCGGGCGACGTGTATTTCCGGGTGACCAGCAAGGACGACTACGGAAAGCTCAGCCATCGCACCCTGGACAGCATGATCGCCGGCGCGCGGATCCAGGTGGACGAGAACAAAGAGCATCCCATGGATTTCGTGCTGTGGAAGGGGGCCAAGCCCGGCGAACCCTCGTGGGAGAGCCCGTGGGGACCGGGCCGTCCCGGCTGGCACATCGAGTGCACCGCCATGTCGCTGGAATATCTGGGCGAGCAGCTCGACATCCACGGCGGCGGGCAGGACCTGGTGTTCCCCCACCACGAAAATGAGATCGCGCAGAGCGAGTGCTATACCGGAGCCAAGCCGTTCTCCCGCTACTGGATGCACAATGGCCTGCTGCAGCTGGGCTCCGACAAGATGAGCAAATCGCTGGGCAACTTGGTGTCGGTGGTGGAAGCCCTGGAACGCTACAGCCCGGACGCCATCCGGCTTTATTTCCTCAGCAGCCACTATCGCAGCCCCCTGGCCTACAGCGACGAAGGCGCCGCAGCGGTGGAGCGGAGCCTGGAGCGGGTACGGCGGGCGCTCATCCCCGGGAACGGCGCCGGAGCCGAGGTTGAAGCCGACACCCACCGCGTCCGGTTCGCTGCGGCCATGGACGACGACCTCAACACTCCCCAGGCGGTGGCCGCGCTGTTCGACCTGGCGCGGGACATCAACCGCGGCCGGGACGCCGGCCAAAGCGTGGGCTCGGGTCAGGCGGCCCTGCGCGAGCTGGGAGCCGTGCTGGGACTGACTTTCGTGGACCGCCCGGCTCCCGAGGCCGACCTCGCCGCGACTCCATTCATCGACCTGCTGGTATCGGTGCGCACCGAACTGCGGGCCGCCCGCCAGTTCGCCCTGGCCGACCAGATCCGGGACGGCCTCGCCGAGCAGGGCGTGAGCCTTGAAGACGGCGCCCAAGGCACCCAGTGGCAGCGGCAGACGACCGAATAGCGTTGTCCCCCGTGTCCGCCTCCGCGCAGTCTGCTTCAGATACCGACCGACCGCCATTGGGCGATCTGGTTGCCGGCCTTGCTCCGATAGTCGGCGCGGAGCACGTCCTCACTGACCCCGTAGAGATTGACCGCTATTCGGCCGACGCCCTGACGCCATACCGCGCCTACTACGCCGACGCGGCTTTCGACCGGCTGGCCGATGCGATCGTTCGGCCGGCGGATACGGCGCAGGTATCCCAGGTTGTTGCATTTGCCCAGGAACGCTCGGTTCCGGTAATCCCCTACGGCGGCGGAACCGGGGTGATGGGCGGAGTGCTGCCGGTTCACGGCGGTATCATCCTCGACCTGGGCCGGCTCAACCGACTGCTGCGCGTGGACACCGTATCGCAGACCGCGGAGGTTGAGGCGGGGATGATCCTCGAAGACCTCTACGCTGGCCTGGAACCCCACGGCCTGATGCCGGGGCATGACCCTTACAGCGTACCCATCGCCAGCGTGGCCGGGACGATCTCCACCAACGGCGTGGGCTATCGCGCCGCCGCCTTCGGCCCCATGGGCGACCAGGTGGTGGCGCTGGAAGTGGTCCTTCCCGACGGCCGCGTCATCGAGACGCGACCGGTGCCGAAGCAGTCCTCCGGCCCGGACCTGAACCACCTGTTCATCGGCAGTGAGGGCGTCTTCGGCGTGATCACCCGGGCCACCCTGCGCGTGTTCCGGCAGCCCGAGGCCGCCGAGTACGCGACGATGGAATTCACGGATTTCGACGCCGGCTTCATGGCGGTGTCAGAAATGGCCGCCCTGGGCATCCGCCCGACGCTGCTGGATCTGACTGAGGACAGCGAAGGCATCCTGCTGCACCTCCTCTTCGAGGGCTATCGGGAAGGGGTGGATGCGGCGCTGCGGCGCACCATGTCAGTTTGCGACGCGGCCGGAGGGGCGGGACGTGGGCCCGGAGCCGACCCTGTCCTATTGGAAGCATCGGCATGACTCCGCTTTGAACTATCGCCAGACTGCCCTGGGACGGCCTCGCGAGGAACGTTGGCAGAGGCAATGGGGCCGCACGTTCGACTACCTGCACATGAGCCTGCCGGCCGACCGGGTGCTGGAGTACCGGCGCCGGGCTGACCAAATGCTGGAGGCCCGGAAGATCAAGGTGGTGGAGTACTGTCTGTGGAGCCGCCCCGAGTTCTTCTCATTGCTGGTGGTGCCCGACGGTGATCGCCGGGTGGTTGGTCGGGACGGCTACGATCCCGAGGTAAGGGACAACCTGGCGGCCGGCGTGGACGAAGTGCTGACGCTGGCGCAGGATATGGGCGGGATCATGGAGTACTGCCACGGCGTCGGCATCAAGCTGCACCACTTGTTGGGTCGCGAGTTGGGAGTCAGCAGGGATGCGCTGCTGGATATCAAGCGAGCGCTGGATCCGGCGGGCATCATGAATCCGGGGAAATTGACGTTGTAGCACATCGGGCGGCGAGACCAAGGCGATTGTTGAGGGCGGGTTTGGAACCCGCCTTTTGCATCGATACATACGATATGATCTATCGCGCAATATCTATTGACGGAATATCGCCGGATCGGTATCATAATTACAAATGATCACCGGCTATTACTATTAGCCACGAGGAGCAAGCAAATGGTTACCGCAATCAATCCTGAAATCGAAACCAAGTCCGCGGTTGCCGAAACCGCCGAGGCGCCCGCTCAGCCCGCCGCCGTCGACGTTTCCGCGATCCCGGAAACCCCGGCCGAGTTGCTCGAGCAGTGGGAAAACACCCGCAAGCCCTCCGTCCAGGCGACCATCATGGCGAGTTTCGTCGCCCTGTGGAACGTGGTGGCCGGCCCGGGGATGACCAACCGCGCCCGCCTGGAGCGGGAAATCGCCGAGACCCGCGGCTACCGCGACGGTTTCACCAAACTGGCCTAGTCAGCCGCCACCTGCCAAAGGATGGCGCCGCCCTCCCGGCGTCGCCCGATAGCTGGCAAGGGTCGCCGCAGCAATGCGGCGGCCCTTTTTTCGGTTGACGCAACATCCGCCGAAACGCCCCGGACGTAATACTGGCAACGAATAACCCGCGCTACTACAATCGGTGGGACGGCGGCCAATTCGAACGTCGTTATTACATTCGATTACATTCGTTGGTGAGATGCCATGTCGACCGCTCGCGCTTTCGTAACCCGCACCCTGCTTCCCGAGGCGTTGGACATCATCCGGGAGGTTGCCGACGTGACCGTGTGGCCGGAGGAAACGCCGCCATCGGTCGAGGAACTGCGCCGGCACTGCGGTGATGCCGACGGGATTCTGACCACCATCATGGACCGCGTGGACGCCGACCTGCTGGACGCGGCCCCACGCCTGCGGGCGATCAGCCAGTTGGCGGTGGGTCTGGACAACGTCGATGTGGCCGAGGCAACGCGGCGGGGCATCCCGGTGGGCTATACGCCCGGAGTGCTGGCCAAGTCTACCGCCGACCTGGCGATGGCTCTGTTGCTGGGCGCGGCGCGGCGCACGTCGGAGAGCGAACGCTGGTTGCGCGGCGGCGGCTGGCAGATCCAGTTTCACCCCACCCACTGGCTGGGACAGGATGTGCATGAAGCCTGCCTGGGCATTGTCGGATTGGGTCAGATCGGCCGTGAGATCGCCAAGCGCGCCGGCGGGTTCGACATGGACATCGTGTACCACTCGCGCACCCGGTATCCTGACGCCGAAGCGGAGCATGGCCTGCGCTACGCCGAGTTTCCCGACCTGCTGGCGCAGGCCGATTTCGTCGTTCTCAGTGTGCCGCTGACTCCGCAAACGCATCACCTGATCAGCGGTCCGCAACTGGCGATGATGAAACCCTCGGCCATCCTCATCAACGTGTCGCGCGGGCCGGTGGTCGATCCGGCGGCGCTGTACGAGGCGCTGCGCGACGGGCAGATCGCGCGGGCCGCCCTGGACGTGACCTCGCCGGAGCCCATCGCCGTCGATGACCCGTTGCTGACGCTGGACAACCTGGTCATCACGCCGCACATCGGCAGTGCGGCCCTGCCCACCAGGCTGAACACGATGAAACTGGCAGCGCGGAACCTGGTGGCCGGGCTCAAGGGAGAGCCGATGGA